GGAAGTACCGTTGCCTTCTGGGTTATGTAGTTTTTTAACTTGCGTTACAGTGCAAGCTGGTGGACAGAGGACTACAAAATGGCGACGCCAGTTCTATTTTTTTTTTTGTCATGACAACTTGTTTCCCACTCCCGTCTGCTCCCGTTAACTTTTGATCCTGTACCGTCCCAATCACGTGAGTAACAGTTAAGTCAATTCCCATCCCACAGGAATCCCGTGGGAATCACGTGACCCATGGGATTCCCGAAAAAATGTCAGCCTCTACTGAGTGGTGCACTACTGCTACTAGTGGTGAGAAAGTGTATTACACCTTATTCTAAATCAATGTGGTCCCGCGGCCCTCTGCGGCCCAAAGTTAAAAACTGTTGTTCTTCTGAGGCCCTCTGTGGCCCACAGGTTAAGAATCTCTGATGTAGGAGATTTTCAGCACTTAAGTCTAAAACTCCTCTCTAAAACATTTGATAAGTACAGGCCCTGGTTTTCTTTTAAAACTTCTACAATCTGCAGCTTCTTTGTCCACATGGCTTCATATTTAACAGGTTCAAAAACAAATAAAGCAGATCTCATTCCCTTCAGTGCTGAGGACTTTCTAAGTGAATTGAATAATTAGGGATCCTCGTTAGTCTCTACAGAGACCATTCTTCTTAAGGCCTACACTAACAAACATCAGAGCACACAGACTACAACAAAGTTTTTGTCCTTTCTGTTCCTGCAGCTCAGGAAGATCCTCCAGCTTCCAGACTTTCCCAGTAAAAGAAACCTCCACCTGAGGAGCAAACCTGTGGAGCAGAGGAGGCAGGAGCTGGAGGGTTACCTTCAGGTGAGCACACACACCTGCTGCTGCTGCGAGGAAACCATCCTCTGTCAACAACATGTGTCAAACACACAACTTCACACTTCACTGTGTTGTTGTGTGTCGGTCAGGACATCATTTATCAGAATGAAGATGTGCCTCAGGTGCTGCTGGACTTCCTCCACCTGAAACACTTTCACACAGGAAACAAGATCAGCAGCATGGAGTGAGTCCAGTACAACTTGTTGTGTTTGTGTTTGGATGGAGGGCTCTGGCTCATGGTGGACCAACACAAACATTCCTCACTGATGTTGAAAACTTTAATCTGGTTCTTTGTTTTGTATTGAAATGTATAAATTTAAACCTAAAAGGATTTTTATATATTTCATATTTATATTTCAACATTAATATCTTTGTTTTGACAGTGTTAGCTGTGTTTTTCAGGTCTCTGGATGAACTGGACAGTCAGGAATCCAAGTAAGATGTTATTTTTGTTCAGGTGTGTTTATCTCTACACTTAGTAAAATATCAGTTTGTCAACATTAGCAAATTTAAAAATGGCTCTAATTCAGTTAATTTTACAGATTTTCAGCTAAAACTTTGTGTTGTAGTAGCTGAGAACCATTCTTACCACAAACTCCAAGCCCAATCTGAAAAAGTCTAATCTGTTTTTACAACTTTGCCATTAACAGTCAGAAGTCTGTTTGTGCCTGTCTGTTAGCAAAATATCTCAAGAAGCACTGAACAAAATAAAACAAAGTAAATATTGAACAAACTAGGGATGCACGATATATGTGCATTAATATCTGTATCAGCTGATATTGGTCATTTTTTTAGAATATCAGTACCAGTCCCATATGTAGAACTGGGCCAATACTAACGTCTGATATTTATTTACCACTTTTTATCTTTGTGTTTGTGTTTTGTGAGGTGAGATGTTTGGTTGAGCAGTATCTGTTTGATCATGATAGTGATGCTGCAGCAGGAATAACTGAAGTAGAGTCATGACAGAGGTCTGCTTCTTTGTTTACTGTACCAAAACAAGACTCAAGTCTGTTTGTGTGCAGTGGTGGGCAGCGCTAATGCAATATTTAGCTCCACAATTTCTAAAGCGCTTATGAAAAATGTTTAGGTCCAACTTCAAAAACACTTATGTCATAGAAAAACTAGCAGAAGCTAATTTTAAAGCACAAGTTCAATTTGACACTAGCTGACAATTCATGTACAATATATGTACAACACTGCCAACTAGTGGTGTATGAACACTTGTACAACTTAATCCTGAGACCAGTGATTGCTGGGGATGTGATTTCCTGAAACAGAACTTTATATCCTGGTGTAAAAATTAAAAAGTTGTTGAGGATTGCTAGTTCGGCTGCTTCTTTGTCTTTTTCTTTTGTTTGTTGTAGATTTTTCATTAAAGAAGCATCAATAAAGTAATTTTAAAACTGTTTATTGGAAAACTGAAGTGATGCATTTTGGGTACATTTGTGATGGGAAATGAAAGCACGGAGAACAGGAAACTAGTATCTTCTCTTCAAAATAAGAGCTTGGATTTATTTTTCCATGTTTCCATTGGATTCCAGTTCACCTGAAACTCATCAGACTGAAGAAGTCTCTTGGAGGTGTAGGGGTATTAAACGCTAGAATTCTAAAATGGATAATTTGTGAATTGTGTGAATGACGGCGTGAGACGAGGAAATACAGACGAAGACAACTCATGTTTGGAAATTCATCCGTGTTTTATTTAAAATGAGGTTCAGAGGGTAATATATGCATTACAAATCATTTCTCAGACAAAAACACACTTTATAATCAGTTCCGTAAACTTAATCAAGAAGTGATGTAATTAATCTGGTATGATTACCATGTGAATGACTTTCTACACATATTTCAGTGGGACACTACTTGCTATTTCTAAGCCTATCGCTAACAGAGAGGGAGCTCAGGGGAAGAAGAATGAACTTTGATTATACTCTGATCTGATTTAAGTCTTTGAACACACCATCAGATTAATTGAGCAAGATGTTTCCTACCGGCAAAGTTGTAGACGCCAGAATGGATACTTCTAGGCTAATTGGGTGGCACGTGAAGTCCAACCGAGTCAGCTGTGTTGTGTAGAAGTTCCCTGGTCATCTGGTCTGCTGGCTGCATTCACTGGATATGTTGTCCAGCACCGTGGCGGCTGCGTTCCTTGCGAGCACACTGAGGTCGTCCGACTTGAATTAAATCAGCCTCATCGTTTTAATCAATGTAAATCTACTTCCTGGAAGCTCCTTAAGATTAAACTATAAAAAGTAAAAAGTGGAAAAGAATGGCCTCGCCCCGGGATGGGGGAAGCTGGAGATAAAAAAAAAACTACTGCTCTCCTCAAATGCTTCTTCAGAACTACTACATGGCAGAACAAATGAAATACTCCCTGTTCACAACGGAACTTCTCATTGGTTAAGACTTTCTGCGGTGGTCACATGACACCCTCCAGACATGTAACAGAAGAACAGAGTTAGTTAATCAACCAGATCAAGTTACTTAAACAATGTCATGATTATTACAGTAATTAAAATCAGAGTACCAAGGTATTGTTTTGACACTTCACAGATGCTTTTTATAGTTATAAACAGAAAACATGGGTGATAAATAAATAAAATATTTTCAGGGTTAGTAGATCAAATGTCCACAGGGGCATTGCTGACCCACAGATAAATCTGATGGGAGTCTTTTGATGTCAAACAATGTTTATTCCAGCCTTATCCTGAAAGAGGTGATAAACCAATTAACTGGTGACAGGAAGTCTAGCCTTTGTTCTAAGGCCTAAGGGTGAGGAATCAGATGAATTAACAGGAGTCCTTATTCAAACTTTGAGATGTTGCAGGCAGGATGAAAAAAGTGGAGTTAACAGGACTGTCTCTTGAGAAGATACTCACTTTTCCACTACAGAGGAGAGACGAAACATTTCACTAAAGGGGAACCATCCAGAGGATTTACTGATTTTTTCTTTTTGATTTTTTCCACCTGGATTAGGATGTTTTCCATGTAGTTGCTCCAGTTGACCAGTAGATGTCAGTCTTCACCAGCATAACATCTTTAAATCATTTCTGAGTCTCTAACACCGTTATCCGATTGCTTTTGAGCTCCAGCATTTAAACTTTATTTTTTTTAAAAAGGAGCTCCGATTGTAAAGTAAAATAAATCAAACCATGAAAATTTTAGTATGGATTACAAACGTTAACTGTTTTAGCTGGGACAGGGAGTTCTAAACATTACCTTCCTGCTACGTAAGCAGACACAAAGCATTGTGGGAAATCAGAAGCGTGACCCAAAGCAACAGTCAGCAGGATGTATACCTTCACAATAAGTGTGTTTATCTGGGAGGGGTGCTGTTGGATAGATCACATGTTGTGATTCATTGACAGTGTAGCAGAAACCCCCTATTAAAAACCATTAAATATGATTTTTAATGAGTTCTCCTTCCTGGCTCTGAATGGAACTTTTGGAGCAAAATGAGTCAATCACACAAACACAAGAAACAAACAAAGTCATTCAGGTTTATTTTGGCCAGTTAAAGTTAACTGACTTTTATTAAGACATTAATAAGTGATTAATATTTGTAGTTACATACAATGAACAACAAAAATGGGCTCTCACTAAAACGTTATTGTTTCTAATTTTTAAGCAATTTGTCTAACAATTTATCTAAGCAAAGCAGATTAATTTATGTACATTTTAGGGTGTGTGTGTGTGTGTGTGTGTGTGTGTGTGTGTGTGTGTGTGTG